CCGCCGCTGCGGCATGTGCGGAGTATGGAAGCAGCCGCGCAGCTTGGTGCGTGTGGTGTATGTGGTCAGTTTTGGGCGCTGTTTCATTGGATTCCGTGGGCCAGGAATTTTGACTCACCCAAACCAAGGTAGGACCAAAGCTTCAGAGCCAGCGAGGCCAGCAGCAGCGCGTGCGCGAGCGCGGCCTCAATGGCCTCTCCCGGAGACAGCGGGATGTTGAGATCCGCCAGGCTGTCAAAGGATGACCACGAGCGGCGGTGCCGGGGCCTGTCGCGACCACCACCATCGCCACCGTCGCTGCTGCCGCGCGGGCGCGCCGCCGCGACCACCGATCGCTGGGCCTCCGCCGACGCAGCCATCGCGACCGTTCTGCCGCCTATGCCGGTCAGCATCGCCTCCGCCGCGGCGCCGGCGCGCGCGCCGGCGGAGCCGCTGATGCGCCGCTGCCGCTGCTGCTGCTGCTGCTTCTGACCCACCGCCGCTCCGGCGCGACGGACTTGCTGGTCAGCCGCGCGTATATACTCGCGCGGCAGTATAATGAAGGCGTTTAAGGTGAATTTCGCGGCAGCGAAACCCGGACACACTTCAGACTGGTGAGCTCGGCAATCTGGGAGACCAGACAACGAGGCAGTCGACTCAGATGTATTTGAGAGTACTTTCAACAGTCGGATTGACGATGCGCATGACTAGAGCCACTCAGTCTCGTGTTTGGTGAGCTGGCAAGTTTGTGGCGCGGTTTTACCAGCGTTATGGTGAACCCGGCAGAACTGTCCTTCCTGAACGATCGAACATTCTCGGAAGTCTTGTGTAGCCTGCACGTCATCCCAAACCCCTCGCTCATCACCACCAGCTGGCGTTGTTGGCTGCTTTGCCCGACCGGCCGCCGCGACAACAGCACACGTCATCCGAAGCAGCGGTGCGTCGGAGCCGCCTGCATGCATGCTGTCTCGTGCATCGAAAAACTTGTTACTATTGCAGGCGTGTGGATGGTCGAAGGTCGCTCAGTGCCGCGTGCGGGGTCCCCTGCCGTTGCTACTGCTGTCATCAGAACCCACCACCTCCTGTGCTTAGCGCCCCGAGAACGTCCCGCGCGGGTATGCCTCGACGATGCGGCTCGGCCACGCATGCTCCAGCTCGCACATTGCGACGGCCCTGTCGCCACGCAGCGCCGCCGCCTCCCGTTTGGCGCGCCGCCCCGCCGCGATGGCAGCCTGCGAGCCATTGAGCGCACAACACGCACGCCGGCCCGGCACACTTTGAAACAGCTGGGTGTAGCGCGGCCGTCCATCCAACAAACACACAGCAGATACCCCATGACGATTCAGGCTCCCAGCGGCCGGCCCATCGGCGCATCGCCGCCCCCAGCACCACCCAACGCGCCCCTTCGCCCACCAATCCTCGCACCCTCGCGCGCACCTCCCGGTCCCTGGCGCGCCGCTCCGCCTGCTCCCTCTTGGCGGCCGCCCAATCCTCATACGTCTTGCCGCCCGCAGCCAGCAGCTCTCGCCGCCTGATTTCCTGGGCTGTCAAAAACACGCGCCTCTGCCCGTCCGCTTCCGCGCCAGCCCCGCCCGCTTCTGCACCGCTGCCGCCGCCGCCGCCGCCGCCGCCGCCGCTCGCCTGTTCTCCCTCGCCGAACGAGATTCTCAGTGCCGCTGCCCGCCCGTCGCCGCCGCCGAAGCCGCCTTCGAATTGCTGCTGCTGCTGTTGCTGCTGCTGCTGATGTTGCTGCTGCTGCTGCTGCTGCTGCTGCTGCACATGTCGCCAGCCCCTCTGGAGGTCGGCCCTAACCAGTGCCCGCAGCTTGTGGGCAGCTTCCTTGTAGAGGGGCCCGCCGGCACGGCCTAGCGTGGGCGGCGCAAACGGATCTCAGCAGGAACCAGCCCTCCGAAGAGGCAGGCAGGGGACGGCTCCACTGGCCCCAACGCTCGAACGCACCCTCACCAGGCACGCACGCACGCATGCACGCACATGCGCGCACACCCACACCCACACCAACACCCAAACACACACATGTGTGTGTACACACCTGGCTTGCAGAGCTCCTCAAAGCCCCGCAGCGCAGCCTGCAGCTCGGCTCGATCCCCCCCTCCCACCGCCGCCGCCAGCCGCGCCGCCGCCACTCTGGCGGCCTCGATGCGCGCCGCCTCGCCCTCCTCCAGCCCTGCGTCCCTGACAATCTCCTGCCCGTATGATTGCACGCATGTACGCCGGTTCAGCACAGCAAACGCGGCCTCGAAGCACGCAAAACGCCCGGCGAGGCGGGAGCGCGCGCGGCGCACAGCGCAGGATGGCTCGCAGCTTGTTCACCTGCACCCAGTGCACTTCGGTTCGCTGTACAACCCGAGGCCAGCTGGGTTTATAAACGCCCCAGCAAGCATCCCAGCTGCAGACATAGACAATCAGCAAGCGTGCAGAATCTGCGCGCACGCGCGCGCATGCGCACCAGGCATGCCGCGAGCACCCCATCGTCTGCGACCCTGACCAGCCGCTCAACCCGGGCGCGCGCCTCCCGCTGCAGCAGCGCCAGCTTGGCCTGCTTCGCCGCCAGCGCCTCCTCCGGGCCCAGCAGCGCCGACAGGTGCCGCAGCAGCCGCTGCGTCCGCCGCCGCAGCTCGTCGGCCGCGGCGGCCGCCGCGGCCGCGGCGCGGCGGCGGGCGGAGAGCGTGCCGCCGACGCGCGGGGCGGCGCCGCTCGTTTCGAGCGCCTCCCGCCCGCCCGCGTGGTGGCCATTGTCGCCATCCGCACTGCTGCGGTCAGCCTGCTGCGCTTTGCTGCCGACGGGGGCCGCGCCGTCCCCTCCGTCGCCGGCGCCGCAGCCGCCCGCTGCGCAGCCCGGCCCGAGCCAGACCTCGAGCAGTGTCGGCCCGCCGCCCTCGAGGCGCCCCGCCAGGGGGTTGTCATCGAGATTAACGACCCTCAGTTCAACAAGCCTGGGCGGGCGAGGCGCCGGGGCGCGCGGTCAAACGTGCCTGGGTCAAACGCATTCGGCCAGCGCGAGGGGGCCGGCTGCGGGTTTGGGCGGGCGGTGGCTGGCCCGAATTGCATAACCCAGTCACCCGTGGCAGTCCTTGCCCCCCCCGTCCCTCCTCACTTTGCCAGGCCGGCCGGCACTGAATCGAGCAGGTTGTCCTGCGGTCCCGGCGCAAGCGGGAGTCGAGGGCATCAGGTGGCGGCTGCAAGCGCTGTGCTGTGCGCGCTGAGACCCACCTGACTGCAATCGCTCGGGCCCAATCGGGTTGGTGGGACCCCGCCCAAGCGCGTCAGTGCACGGCGGCGTCCAGGCAGCAGCAACAGCATGCGTGAAATGGTACAGGAATCCATATGCAGGCCATCCACACCAGGCCGCTGGCCTGGTGGCCCAGGCTGCCAGCCTGGGCAGCCGGCAGTGCCCAGCTAGCGTCATACGGGCATCGAACACCCGGCGGGCTGTTCTTGTCCAGACCTGCAGCTCCAGGCGCTGCAGCTTTGCCAGATCACAGATCTCCCGCGGCAGCTCCGTCATCCTGTTGCCGCCCAGCAGCAGCACCCGCAGCTCCCGCAGGCGGCCGACGTCTGGCGGCAGCGCCGCCAGCCGGTTGCCCGACAATATGATCTGCTGCGCGGTGGTTTTTGCCCAGAGCTCGGGCGGCAGCGCGGCGAGGCCGCGGCGCTCGCCGCGCAGGATGAGCTCGCCGCACAGCCACGCCTGTGGTGCGCGGGTCGCGGGCGGTGCGTGTGTTGCTGCTGCACATGCAGCTGCTGCGGCAGGCAGCGGCGCGCTGCTGCGAGTTGGACGCCGGCGCGGCACGCAAGGGACGGGGGCGTATCGTATGTTCAAGCGTTTCTACTCACGTTGCCCGTCTTTTCAACACGCCGAGCCTTGGTGGACCCGCCTCCATCGCATGTAAGCGCTGGAATCAGGTCGAACTCGATTCCCCCGAACATGGCTGCTAAGATTTTGCACAGTCACGAAACTATATCAGCACTTCATCTTTTTGCCTCATCAACACATGGCCCGTCACGCCTCGTAGTTTTGGAGAGCATCGCAGTTGACCAAGCTGACCACGCGCGGCGCATCCTCGACTGATGGCCATCAGGGTGCTGCCCCTCCGAACATGCCCTCACATTTTTGTTGCAGAAGCCTTGGTAGGCGACCTGTTACTGGAAAGCAGCGCCTCAAAGAAGCCCTAGCGGTGTCCTTGGCCCCGATGTGCACGCGCAGCGGTGCAACCAGAAAAAAAAACATGTGGCCCCCACAGGAGGCGGTGCGAATGAGCACTGTGTCGAGGGGAAAAGCCATTGCAGTGGTGAAAATTCAAGGATGGGGCCGCACTGCGCCTCCTGCGTCAGCCGGCCCAGACACGGAGCTCCCCCCTGGATTGCAAAACTGTGCCTGCCGCGCGCGCCACCCCGCCGAGCCGGCCCGGCGCTGATAACAACCGCTCCGACGCGCGAGCTGCACCCTCTGGGCTAAAATGGCGCTGTCTGGGACCCTCCTGCCGGTGGAAATATCTGCCTGGACTCTGCTGCCGCCTTGCCGCACCCCTTTTGAGGGCGCCGGCGCCACCCCACCCTACCACCTACCCCGCCCTCTCGGCGGGCCACATGGGGCTCCGGTCGGCCCCGGGCCCCTTCCTGGGATGGCCATCAGAAACAAAGAGGGAACGGTGCTGCCGGGCCGCCGCGATAATCGTGCAAGGCGACGAAAATTGTCTCAGGCCCCGCTGAGCCGGCGCTTGTGGCCCGTGAGCGTCGCGCGGCCGCCAGACAGGCAGCCGCCGCCGCCAACGCGCGGGGTGCGCTCCTCCTCCGCCGCCCCCTCGCTCTCCGCGCCGCCGCCGCCGCCGGTCGGGGCCCCGGCGCCGTCCATGGCCGGCACGCCCGCCGGCGCCCCCGGCTCGGCGGCTCCAGTCGCGACGAGCAGGGGCGCGGGCGGCTGCGCCAGCGCGGCGCAGAGCTCCATGAGCCCGTGGCAGGTGATGCGCCGCAGGCTGGCCTCGAACTCTGCCGTCTCGCAGTCGCCCCACTCACCGACACCC